AAAAAAAAAAAAAAAAAAAAGAATTCTCCTTTTTTTTGTTTCTCCTTTCCCCATCAAATTTGGATGCTCAAGTAAAGAGCTCGGGTGAGCCTCATTCTCCTGCGTGGCCTGAGGACAATGGGGAAGCGACCCCAGGAGCAATGAGCTGGTCTGAGCAGGGGCCGTCTGAAGAAGATGCACAGGAATCCTCCAGCAGCACGGACTGGGCATGGGCAGTGTCTGGCGCCAGCGATTTCCAGGCTTTTCTGCAGGCTCTGTCTCTGGAGCAACCTTCTATTATGTGTAGCATGCCCCTCACTGGACTAGACTAGAGCAGGTTGAGGTCCTCACCTTCTGGCATCTTCAGTCCAGTTCCTGAGAGGAGGAGCTGGCTGCCTGCATTCTGGCCTCCCCAGGGCCTCCCCAGTTGTGCCCCTACCTTGGGGCCCCAAGGAACCCGAAGATAGAGCACATTGCCTCAGAAGCATGGAGGAGTGGGCAGGTTTTGGAGATTTCTCAGGGGAATCTTTAAGATCCAGGAATGGCTCCTGAAGGTTCCTGATCTAATGAATAGTATCAGGTAGAAACAATTCTATATTTTTATGGGAATTTACAAGAATTTTTTTGTTTTGTTTTGTTTTGGTTTTTTTGAGATGCAGTGGTGCCATCTTAGCTCACTGCGACCTTTGCCTCCTGGGTTTAAATGATTCTCCTGCCTCAGCCACCCAAGTAGCTGGGATTACAGGTGTGTGCCACCACACCTGGCTAGTTTTTGTATTTTTTATAGAGACAGAGTTTCACCATGTTGGTCAGACTGGTCTCGAACTCCTGACCTCAAGTGATCCGCCCACCTCAGCCTTTCAAATTGCTGAGATTATAGGTGTGAGCCACCGTGCCTGGCCTTACAAGAGTTTTGACTGCTTTCAGGGGAGGAGCCCAGTGACTGCACCCCGTCCCCAATCTGCCCATAACCATGTTGCCAAGTCATCTGGGAGACGGGAAAGGCCCACATTTATACTGCACAAAACCCCTCCTGGGAAATTTTTGTTTTAATTTTTAAGTTATTATTATCTCCATTTTATACATGAGAAATCTGAAACTCAGAGAGATTAACGGACAGGCCTAAGATCACATAATAGGAAGTGGAGGAGACAAAAAAAAAATCAGCTTTGGCCATGTGTGGTGGCTCACGCCTGCAATCCCAGCACTTCGGGAGGCTGAGGTGGATGGATCACTTGAGCCCAGAAGTTTGAGACCAGCATGGGCAACACGGTGAAACCCCATCTCTACAAAAAATACAAAACTTAGCTAGATTGTGGGGGTGTGTGCCTATAGTCCTAGGTATTCGGAGGCTGAGGTGGGAGGATCACCTGAGCCCAAGAAGTTGAGGCTGCAGTGAGCTGAGACTGCACCACTGCACTCCAGCCTGGGCAGCAGAGTGAGACCCTGTCTCCAACAAAAAGAAAAAACAGCTTTATTGAGATATAATTCAAACTCCATACAATTTACCCATTTAAAGTATACAATTCAATGGTTTTTAGTATAGTCACAGAGTTGGACAACTAGCATTACAATACATTTTTGAATATTTCCATCACTTCTAAGGGAAACCTTGCACCATTTAGCTTTCACTCCCTAGTCTCCCCTCCCCCAACCCTAAGTAATCACTCATTTACTTTCCAAATCAATAGATTTCCCTGTTCTGGACATTTCTTTCTTTTTTCTTTCCTTCTTTTTTTTTTTTTGAGATGGAGTCTTGCTCCGTCACCCAGGCTGGAGTGCAATGGCACGATCTCAGCTCACTGCAACCTCTGCCTCCCGGGTTCAAGCGATTCTCTTGCCTCGGCCTCCAAGTAGCTGGGACTACAGGTGTGTACCACCACTCCCAGCTAACTTTTTGTATTTTTAGTAGAGACGAGGTTTCACCATGTTAGCCAGGATGGTCTCAATCTCCTGACCTTGTGATCCGCCCAGCTCGGCCTCCCAAAGTGCTGGGATTACAGGCACAAGGCACCATGCCCAGCCT